GTAAGAAATGAAATGAAATGTTTCAGAAATACTGATGAGTGAAAAGGAGACCAGTGACACCAAATATGATTGTAGTACTGTGAAAGCCTATGTAGAGCAATGATTAAGAATATGCATTGGGAAGTCCCCTCAGATATGAATCCAATATGTGGCTTTTGGCAAGACTCACGGCTAACATCCTGTCTCCCCATGCACTGTAATAGCCATGATAACACATTTTAGATTCTTATGTCACTTTCCCTCTAATAGTCCTTCTAAAGTAAAATTATTAAATCAATATAATAACATAAGAAGCTAATCTCTGCACAGATTCTCAACGTATTTATGCATGTCTTACTTTGTAAGCCATCTTGACTACTGATTTTAAGGAGAAAGGTGGAATAATAATAATAATAATAATAATAATAATAATAATAATACACTTTATTTATATTCTACCCTTCTCCCCTAGGGGACTAAGACCAGGTTACAACATTTACATACATAGGCAAACATTCAGTGCCTTTACAATCATATACAATGAGACACACAAATACAAACAAAGGCAGAGACTTCTCCTTTCATTTCCGGCTTCAGGAGGTGGTGCTAATATCTGGCCCTCGGGAGGTGCTTTTCTCCATTTTCAAGCCAAGGAGCCTGCATTGTCACCTCCTGGTTGTGTGGTTGCCAAGATTGTTTGGAGCATATTATGTGAGAGCATGGAAAACATGTTGAAATACGTGCCTCTTCACTTTCTGCCTGAAAATTTCAGTAGAATGGACCTGTCACACTGAATTTATCTAAAGTCTTTTTCAGACCCATCTGTGACCAATGGGTGTGGCTCCAGACATCTCAGATGTACCTCTTGAATAGGAATGTTGTAATCCCAAGTTCCAGGTTGACTGGATTTTTTAAACCTCAAAAATCTGTCAAAATGCTGGCATTTAAAGGTTCAAAATATATTTCCAAACCAGTAGATGATTGATAACTTACAATCATTTGATTCTAGACCATAGATTCTACAGTCGCTATGCAATTTCAATATTATGTCAAACTATAAATCTCATACCAGATATTCTATGTAGTGTAGTGTAGTGGTATGAGTGTTGGATTATGGCTCCAGAGACCTGGAACCCAATCCCTATCTTACTTAGTAAAGCTGCATGCCATTGTACCTATCTTATTGTGAGAGTTGAGGCAGTGCTGCTCGAATTGGGAGTCCATGCCAGTCCATGAGCTATTGGCTGCTTATCTGCCATAATTTTCCAGGAAAGGAGGAACGGGTGGCATTCAATAGGCACAAATATAGTACAAGTTTCTGACACATGGGGGAAAATATCACCAGTCCTGCAATTTAAGGCATGAAACCAACAGAAGGAAAGCCCTCTGGTCCAATTCTCTTGGTAATTGCATTGCATTAAATGACTATTACAGTAACATAAGTATGTTTCCCTTGTGGGTGATTTGTTTTTGGTGTGTGTTAGGAAATACTTTCTATTAATTATTCCCATATTTCAGGAGGGAAAAAAAGAATGACTGTATAAAATAGTGGCATAAAATGGACTTGGACAAGACACAGGTGTTTAGTAGCACATTAGAGCAAGGTTAGGTTACAGCTTACCCTAGCTTGACCCCCCTGAGCAGAGAAATTCCTGCTTTCATATTATAAGATCATGTGTTAAACTTGATACACTTTGGCTCTCTTTCTGTAGGGTAAGAATATCTGAGGAACACTGGGAGAGAAATAGAGAGTGAGACATTCGCAGAAGGGGAATGCAATGTTTGGGATGCTGTGCTGCTTGTACTGCAGTGAACATCAATCATACCTTCCAAGAACACTGGAGGCCAAGTTCTCACTGAAGTGGGTTGCACCACTGGACTGTTCATATTATGAAATTGCCACTCACCTAAAGCAGGCATCTTCAGCCTATAGCACTCCAGCTTGTCCAGTGGTCAGGAATTCTGGGAGCTGATGTCCAAAATACCTGAAGGGACTGCAGGTTGAAGACAAAGGAAGGGAAGGAACTCTTGCACGTAGAAAGCTAACAGGACAACATGGCTAGGACAGAATCCTCCTCTTTTATGTCCAGAGGCCAGACCATAGTACAGTGGTTCCCAACCTTTTTTTAACCACAGACCACTTTGACCAGGGACCACTTCACCAGCGACCACTTTGATCAGGGACCACTCTCCAACATTAGTACCAAAAGGATTACAAATCAGTTTTTGGTCAACTTTAGATTCGGTTTGAGGTACTGATTCAGAAAATTGCATTGGATAGACCAAATCACCTCTAGTTTCTGATACAGAACATATGCCATGGTCAACGACAGGGAAGGAGTGGCAGGCAGCACGAAAGGAGTGGAAATAAAATAAATAAATAAAGAGAAAGGAGGCTCACGAACTAGATTTTCATCCTCGCAGCCCACTGGTGGTCTGCGGCCCACAGGTTTAAGAACCACTGCCGTAATATGTAGAATTAATTAGGGTTGTGTGTCAGAGAAAAATTCTTATTTGATTTCAATGCATAATGAGGGGACATTTTTCTTTCCAGTTCTCATTTGTTCCAACCAGAACTTGTTCTTGTCCTCTATAGCTTTGAACTATGGGGTAGGGGAAAACCCACTAGAGGCAAAGGGAGAATAATGTTCAGCTTGAGTGCAGTTGTAAATGAGAGGTTAAGCCTACCTTTGCATGTGCTCCTTGGGTTTTTATTAATGATATACGTGTGTGAAAATGTGGCTTAATCATAATTGCATCTTTTTTTGCATGGGGCGAAACCCTTGTGCCCCATCCAAAATAATAATTTTATTTCTTACCTTCTTCTCCTCGCAGCTCGAGGCGGATCACGACATTGCTAAAAACACATAATCATCTAAAAACATTCTATAAAATATATTTCTGTAAAATACGTATTAACAAAGATTAAACATAACACACGAGTTTAAAATTTGTAATTAAAACTGGCTGGGCAGGCCTGCCAGAAGAGATGGGTTTTCAAATGTGTTTTAAATTCCAACAGCTCATTTAGTTATCAGATCTCATCCAGCAAAGTCACTCAAGTAGCAGAAATACTGGGCCACAGTGGTGCTAAGCTGAGGAGAGGATATAGAACTTCATGGGCAAAGCTTATTGACCACTGCAACTTTGTACATGTGTATGTTTGAATTTAGATATATGAATGTGTGATAAAAAAGAGAGATCTTCCCTGTTACCTCTGTTAAAATGCTTTTCAATTAGACCCTCTTTATCAAGAATACATCAAGAAACTGGCAGTGTAGATTTCCTGGTGAACGTCTATATATACCCATGCATAAGTCAACCTTCTGTATAAGCTGAAGGCAGGTTTGGGGGTGTGTGTGTGAAATTATGGGGTTTATATGACCCATGGAGACATTGAGAGTCATGTTATGAAATGATCATTCAATTCCTCCTTGGGGAACCCTTCACCCCTGACCACTATTTCCCCACCCAGGCATTCAAAAATCCAGTTGTGGCACCGCTACTGAAAAAATACAGGAGGTTGGTGCTTCTTTTAGGTTCTCCCAGGATAGACCACGTTCTTGCCTTTCACCAGTCTACGCAAAAGGGGAGAGTACTGCCTTTTTGATAAATTTTGACCTATAGAAAAATTGACCCAGTTTTGGATGTGTGGTTGTTTTCCTTTTTTTTTTTTTTACTAAAATGTCTTGACTTGTACATGAGTATATAAGATAGTTGCAGCATTATTTCCTGGTACTGAACATATTATTTCCTCATTCTGAACTACAGAACATTATTTACAAGTAGTAAACTGCAAGTAGTTCAGAATCAAGAAATATAACATCTCAGCAACCTCCGGCCAGCATGACCATATTCGCACAGACAGGTTCCTGCACCTCTCTGTATGGCTGCAGAAAGATGTATTCAGACTTTCTCTTCTAGAGAAAATTAAACATGCCATGAGGGGAGCACACAGGTTCTGTCCCTAACATTGCCAATCTAATGTGAAAAGCAACAATCTAGAAGACAGGAATATGGGGAAACTTGAATATGAGGAGATTTTCTACATGAATCAGAGCTGTTGATATAAAATGGCCTGGTGAGTCTTCATATTACCAGAGGCTCTTCTACAGACTCATCCATTTTCATATGAAAATGGGTTATGGCGCAATGGGTTAAACCATTGTGCCAGCAGGACTACTGATCGAAAGGGCAGCGGTTTGAATCGGGGAAGCAGGGTGAACTTCCGTCTGTCAGCTCCAGCTTCTCATGCAGGCACATGAGAGAAGCCTCCTGCAGGATGGTAAAACTTCCGGGCATTCCCTGAGCAGCATCCCTGCAGACAGCCAGTTCTCTGACACCAGAAGCGACTTGCAGTTTCTCAAGTCGCTCCTGACATGAAAAAAAAAAACCATGAGAAGACAATAGTTGTGAGAAGCATGTTATCATTTTATATCAGTTTACAAGTATAATAATTCCTTGCTAATTTCTTTGGCAAGTATCTAAGAAAGAGAATGCTTTAGCAACATTATATTTTTCTTGATATACGTTTCATATACCGAACTGTATACCTGTGCAGAACAACACCAATGACTTTCATATGTTTAACAAGCACTGACTGTATATCATTTTGTAAACCTCCTTACACTTTTGCATATTTTTTCTTTTTTTCCATTTTTTCTTTTTTTTTTGATCATCTATTTTATTTCTTATATACACTGTAAAACAATAAAAAATATGGAAAAAATAACATCTACAACTATATAACTGGAAAAAAATGAAGCCACAAATGACTAACTTAGCAGACAACCTACTGTAAAAAAGTTGTAGACTAGAATTTTTTGTGAATTTGTTATATGACTGGTTTTTATCAAAAACATCCTTTGAATGCATGTTTCTTGACTCATTTCTGAGTCACTAAATACAAAAGACTAGTAGCTGTAATGAATTTTAATTTTGGATGATTCAGGGGAAAATCAAGCACATGCTGCTGAATGCCTCAATTTTCTAAACTTTTATGTTGACCTTTTATATTTTAGGTTGCCACCAGCGAAGCTGAGCTGCCATAAGCTTGCCCTGTGAATCTTCAGGTGTTCATATCTTAATGGATTGCTGTAACCGATTAATTTCTCCATTCGTCCACTTCCCTGTTTCGTGAGAATATTAGCCAGCACAGATCCTGGGAAAGTTACATGTGAGTGCTGCTTTTTATTCCCTTTTCATCAAAAAAACAAGACTGTACAAAGAAGATATTTCTTTCTGACTGGTTGGAAAAAACAGACAATCCATAGAGTGCTTGTTAAAATAACCTAAAAGCTGTAATTCTGCAGATAACATTAGGCGGTGAATAAATTGATCCTGAAGTACTATTATTGTCTCTTTAAAAATTGAACAGAGAATGTAATTTTGTCATTTTGTGGGGTTCCTAAGTACTTTTTTCTGCCACAGAAAGCTTGGCGCAAAGTACTTTATAAATAGCTTAAGTATTTGTCTCAGAAATATGTTAGATTGGCGCAGGCTTTTTTTTTTAAATGTGATATTCCACTGTTAGATGTTGAAAATATACATTGTCTGACAGATCACTCTATAAAGTTTTTCAGCAGCAGGGTGCAGATTAGCTGAGCTAGGTAACCATGCTTCTTTCACAGTCTGGCAACTCTTAAAGTCACCAAGTGTGGAGTGTCCAGCTATTGGGATTTTTCTTTTTTGGGCAAATCAGTTTTATTTAAATTGTCTGTTATCATTATTTTTGTTAATGTTCAAATGTAACATTGTTTTTGTTAATGTTTGCACTCGACTTTCTTCAATAGTTGTTCCAAGTCTTCTATTTTCTGCTAGTAGTATGGTATCATTCAAAGATCTTAAATTTTTGATGTTCCATTCTCCAGTTTTTGAACTTTCTTCCTCCCATATGATATGTTCACCATGCAAGTCTAACCGATAAAATGCAGCCTTGCCTGACCCCCTTGGCTGTGAAGGTGCAAATATTTTTATTATATCACAAAAGTTAAGTTTAAAAGAATTGAGTTGACACATTTATTGCATAACTATTCATCCCATTCGCTAAACACAAATAAATAAACTGATGGAATCCACTGCCTTTTGAAGAGACAGGAATAGTTGAATAAGTCCACCTGTGTGAAATTCTGGTGCCAAATTATTTCACATCAAAGTCATCTGTTTCTGGTTATTCAGGTACCTCTAAGGGTAAAATATTTTAAACCATCAAGTAGTAAGGGCAGCTTGAAAGGAGTTGGCCTTCACTGCACCCAAGTGTTCCTCCTGTGTTATGAAGTATACAGTTCCTCATCTTCTGAGGACACTGAATTTTGAAGGTCTAAACTCTGGATTTTCTGAGATACATATAGGAATTAGTTGGCTGAAATGGAAAAAGGGTTAGATGGTTATAAGAGTTTGGGAATGGGAAGCAAGAGAAAGGTGTGGTGAGTAAAACATGGAGTTTTTAAAAATGAGAAAAAACCTCTGTCTCTTCAGCAATAAACAAAAATTAAAGGGGATTACATTATTTAGTTTTATTCTGGATAGACATTTTGTGTAGGCAATTAACTTAAATCTAAACAGCTATCTATATAAATAAAATGTAATGTTTGTTTGTGGGATTAACATAACTCGAAAATCACTGGATGAATTGACAAGAAATTTGGGCACTACACTCCTAACAGACCAATGAGCAACCCTCACTCATAAACCCCTCCCAACAAACAGCAGAAAAGACTTAAACACCCAAAAAAGCTAAATGACAATACAGCACATGCACAAAAATGACAGCTCCAGCATCCCCTAGACCAGGCCCTTTAGGGAAGGAGGATGCTCCAAATGCACTGCTTCCAAGATGCAAGCTTGCTTGTCCTTGGATTTCTTTGAGAGCATCCGTACATATTTCCTATTTCTGGACTGCAACTCCCATCAATCCTCCAGATAGATATGATATATAGAGATAGAGATAGATAGTAGGTAGATAGATCAATCGGGAGGACTGCTGGGAGTTGCAGTCCAAGAATAGGTAGAGAAGGAAAAAAGGAGAGAAAGAAAAAGGGAGGGGAAGGAAGGAAAGAGGTAGAGAAGGAATGAAAAAGGAAGGAAAGAGGGAGGGAGGAAAGGAGAGAAAGAGAGAAAGAGGGAGGGAAGGTTGGTCCCAGCAACACGTGGTGGGTACAGCTAGTTTAATATAAACGTAGTGGTTGAATTTCTCATTTTCTAATGTAATCGACTTTGATACATTTAGAAGTTCATTAGCAATGAACTAAATGAATTAACCCAATTCTACTAAATGAATTAACCCTTCTCTACTAAACTTCACACCTCTGAGTTCAGTTGCTAGTGTGAATATGAACTGCTGACATTGAGATCTTCACTGTTCATATAAATTATCAAGTAGACATGGGCAACTCTTGGCCATAAACTCTTTTTGTAAATTAAAATGCTGTAAGGGCTTTGAACTACTTATATGTAGAAAAGTGTTGCATGGTGTCGTGTAATATATGGAAGTTTTTTGTATGATCTTCTGCATTAAATATTTCTTAGCTCTATTAGCATATTTCAGGGCAGGGAAGGGCACTAACCATACAGTCCTTTAAAGCAGTCTAAACACTTCAGAACAATTTATATTAGTTTATGAAACCAAATAAAGAAAAATGTACAACTTAAATTGGAAACCAAGTCAAAATTTTAGAAACCACTTGAGAAAAGCTTGGGTATTACATTGTCCACTGCTCATAGGGGTATGTGTGTGTATATGTGATATATGAGTATTTGCAGCTGCTCAAATAATTATTTAAGCATAGCCCAGAAAGAATTTGTAGAATGAAAATTGCACTAGAGCAAAGCATTAGAAGGTGAAACATTCTGTATAAGAGCACCTGTCATTCACAACTCCCGGGGTCCTTGGTTGGAGGAAACCATTCGAAAAGGACACTTCTCACAGTTTATGTACAAACAAAATCATTGTTTTGTTTGTACAAAACATGGCCATATAGCCCGAAAAAACCCACAAAAACTGTTCATGTATCCAACAGGACTTTGTTTTCTCTCTATGCATTCTTATTAGTGCAGGCAGCAACCATTGGATTTTGCTGTGGCTCTCTGTTCCGTGCACATGCTGCAGAGTACAGGGAACATTTGAAGGATCCCAGTGTTTCCAGGCTTATTCTCTATTAGTAGAGTGTTATATATATTATTGGGATAATAATCTTTCATTCAATCTTAGTGAAATATTTATTATCTGATTCAGAAAATAGGAACGGCAGGTCATTACACAATCTGGGAAGTGGCTGAAGAAAATGTCAGCTGAGTAACTGTCAGTCTAGTTTTGGCTGACTGAAGTAGATCTCAGAGGACCTGAGCCCTCAGCTGCAAGCTAAGAAGTCTACACTGTGTAGGCTTCTTCCAAAGGTGATGGTCTATAGCACCTTCCCACAGACAGAAGCATGATGGAATAGATCACCCAGCCCATAGTGTCCTCAGGCAGAAAATCTTTGCCCTCTAGGTTGTATTTTCTGAAGGCCACGTCAGGCATTAAAGAATCAGCATTTGAGATACTTGCCACCAGAAGTTCACTAGAAGATCTCCAAAAAGAAAGTACAGACAAAAGTACTGGTATATTAGTGATATGGTTCCATTTAAGCACGTCCCATCTTCATAACAAACTACTGCTGTATCTGGAGTTAGGGCCCATCGCTAGTAGGGCAGGGAAAATACGTAAACCAAACAGAAATAAAACAGAACCCTATTTGAACAGAATTTGCAGCAAGATGGACAGTGGGCAGCCTTGCCAAGGAAGGCTCAATTGCTTGCCTATCGTTTGACAGACAGCTGAGAAGACCAGCCCCTTTCCCTTGAGTGTTTTTATATGCTGCCATTTTTTAAAAAAAAAGAATGTTGTTGTTCTTATTAATTTCAAAGTGTGTACATTGTAACATAAATATTGATATATAGAGCCATCAATTAACAGTAGTAATTTTACACTTTCTAATAATAGTAAAACACATGAGTCTTATTTGAAAGAAATCTTCCCAACCATACACTGATAGCCTTACTGTAATTTGTCCTATCAAGCAGTGTGTGTGTGTGTGTCAATTTTACATAGTATTCAAAAGTGACCTAACTGTACAACATTTATCATAATCTTGCTCTTCTTTCTGACAATGTATTTTTAATCTCTCAACACTATTATATACCAGTCTTTTAATGTTCTATATATATATATTCTGTGAAAGGCTTCTAATTATTTGGAAAACATTGTATTGTTTTATTTCTAAGAAGTTAGTTTATCAAATTCTGCAAAATTTAGCAGTTTGGTCACCCATTCGTTTACAGATATGTAGACTTTTATTTGTTTATCATTATACTGCAGTTAATGAAGGGAATTTGTTTTTGGGCATAATCACTTTAACATAAAATTTGTTACAAGTGGAAAAAATTGAATGAAAAAGATAGGAATAACTTCCTTCTTCCATGAATGAGGAGAATGAGGCAGTTCAAAATGTATGAGCAAACTTTTTATTCAAAACTAAGCAATATGCATGTAAAATTAAACAGCCAGTTCAACTAATCCTTTCATTGATAAATCTTTAAGAGACCACTGAAAGCTTTTCCCAAAATGTATCCATTCACGGGTTCTTCCAAATGTTTCCATCATTTTATGATTTCTGTTTTGATAGCTGGACTTTAAGATCCAATATTTTTTACATGCTAGAGGTAGTTGGTGAGATCGGCTCATCTGTGCTCACATTTTTTTCTATGTTTTCCTTGTCATTTATGCTTGATGAGAGATTCTGGGGGCAGCTGTGTTTTGCTTTGCTTGTTGTAGGCAGGCACATCGTAGCCACAGCGGAATCCTTCTCTTTCCCAGTTCAGGGAAACTGTTTACTGCAGACAAATTTACTGCACTCCAACACAGAAAGCCTGTTTTTCTTCAGTGGCAGACCACAAATGGGGAAAGGGGGGCTAGTCAGGCAAAAAGGGAAAAAAAGACTGTAGAATGGAACTTTACTGCCTTTGTCAACTAAGGTTTGATCCGTATTTATGTGTTTATTTACTACTTTTAGTTGTTTTCTTCTTTTAATAGTAATGCAACTTCAGTTTTTATTGTAAATTGTCCTTTTGATTTTACTCTAATCAGATCCACCTTAACCATTGTGTTTTCATAGGAACACAGGTTAAATGATGTTTAAA